TCTACGCAGATTCGGAATAAGAAACTCTTTGCTCTCTTTGTTTTTCGTTTATTCTCGTTTTAATTCTAAGTTATCGTTTTCTTATTTTCGTTGTGCGGTTCTCGCAGATAGCCGGTTCCTCTGGAAACTTAGGGTTTTTCCCGAAGTTTCCTTATTTACGATTTATTTGACAGTAGGGTGAAATCGACTCCCACAATGAGTGATACACGAAATTTATAAAGCTTGTCTCTTATTTCTTGTGTGTTCATTACAATGAGGCTGCCTCTTTATTTATAGAGGAGTGCCTTAGGGTTTACAGCAGTAGCAACAAGACAAAGGCTGAATAAACAATTCATAACTAGGAAATGAATAAACTAAGCATGAGGAAGAAGCCAAGAGAGTTTTTGCAGCAAGGCAGAGATAGTGACAGCTCCCAACAGCTATCTTTCTCTTAAGAGAACATGTGATTTTTATCTTATTTAAATCCCCACTTCTCTAGCCTCTCTCTCCAGCAGTCACATGTATTATTTGAATTTAAATCTGCCTTTAAAGTTAGCTGGACGAAATTGAACTTGCCTTGCCTTCCAAGACACTCTAGCTCAAGCTTGGTTGCTTGGAAGTCAAGACTGTACAGAAAAACTCCAACTTCAAGTATCTGAACTCTTCTCTTCTTCTTCTTCAGTTTGGTGTGGAGATGCTTGGCCTTCACTTCCTTTGTTTGGCCTTCACATCTCCTTGTCTTGCTTCACTCTAATAAGTTTAAACAAGCGGGTTCAGATATAACTTTTTCCACTTGCGTGTCAAATTTCTGAATAAAAATGATTCAGTTTGCAACAAAGCGGGTTGACCCGCAAATCCATCAATAATTTATATTATGATACATATAAAATACTATTAATTATATAATGACACATATATGATATATAATACTGATATGAAAAAACAAATAGTAATAACAAAATCTAGTCATCCATATTATCTTTTAACATCTACAATATTGAGGGTGATTAGTTAGATTTTATCTTCTTACTTTAGCTTTATTTATTTTTAAAACACTAAACTTTACCAATCAAGTTGTAGTTTTATTTTTGTTAGTCAAAATCTACAACAAATTTATGTTAACTTATACCAATCATACTTTAGCTTTATTTATAAAGCTACAGCAAAAAAAGTTTGAAAAAGGGAGTGATTGGTTGGACTGTAACTTTAAAAATTTTACTGTAGAAATTAGTCTGTAGAAATTTTGGATGTAGCTATATCTAATGTAGCTGTAGAAATTAAATGAGAAAAAAATATATATATTCCTACAGCAATCCTACATCAGTATTTTTTTTTCTTTAGAAAATGAATTTCCTACAACCATTTTTTTTTATTTTAACTTTAAAAACTACTTAAAGCATAATTGGTGATTTATATGGTTATAAATAGAAAATAAAGCTAAAGTCACTAGTTAAAACCCAACCAATCATCCCCATTCTTTTTATGTATTTTAGCCAAAACATCTACATCTTTGTTTTATAGGCTGTAGGAACTTTAAAATGAAAAAAACAATATCTAGAATATCAAATCAATTAGATAATCATAATAAAAATATCTATCAATATTTTAATTTAGTTCAGGGTGTTTCCAAAATTATTCAAATATTTTAAATAACAGAAAATATTATTTACATATCACACTTTAAATAACAATAAACTTTGATAATTTATAGAAATCATTAATACAAATTATTTTTGTTGATAGAAATAACTATTTTATATATACATCACATATATTATTTTGAAATATCTACAGCATATATTTTACAGACAATAAATTTAACTACATCAAAAATCTCTACAGTAAAATCTATAGTAATTTTTACAACAAACTTAACTAATCATCACCAATATAGTCAAATATAAAACAGGTTCGTCCACTTTGACCAAAAAAGAAAAAAAAGGATCTTCGACATTCATAATGATTAACTACTTAATAATAGAATTTAATCATAGACTCAAGACTCAACTAACAAAATAACATGACATCTGTATATCTCGAACTAACAAATAAATAAAATAACATGTATACTTATATGATATATCGAACCTTACCAAGCATCTCCCCTCATCAGACATGGCCGGAGAAGCAGATCAAGATCCTGAAGCAACTCCGTCGTCACCGGATTATAAGCCTTTACCTTCTTCTATAAACGATCGAAACGGCGCCGTTCTGATATCACATATTTCCTCGACTAGACGTAGTCGTTTCATCGTCTCTATATTTCTCATATCTTTTGCTTCCATCCTCATCTACATCTTCTGGCCGTCAGATCCACGCATCAAAATCGAACGGGTCAAAGTTTCCCACGTGCACGTCCACCGTCGACCGGTGCCGTCTATAGACATGACGATGCTCGTTACGCTAAAGGTATCCAATGCTGACGTGTACTCTTTTGACTTCACGGCGCTTGACGTTGCGATTGGTTACAGAGGGAAGACGTTGGGTCACGTGAATTCGGATGGTGGGCACGTGAGGGCTATGGGTTCGTCTTACCTGGAAGCGGAGACGCAGCTCGACGGCGTCACGGTGTTTGCTGACGTCATTAACCTGATTCACGATTTGGCTAAAGGCTCCATCGAATTTGACACCGTTACCGAGACTAACGGAAAACTTGGCGTTTTGTTCTTCAGTTTCCCTTTAAAGGTACTTCAACTCAAGTAGTTTTACGCAATTATTCGGTTTATTAATGACAATTAAGACTTTAAATTAGTACTAGTACCTTTTATTTAATTCTTTTCATTAATGGATTCTTCTTTAATTGATGAACAGGCGAAAGTGGCATGTGGGATTCTAGTAAATACAGTTAATCAGACAATTTCTCGTCAGAGCTGTAGACCTGCCTGATTTAAGTGATATCATCTGCTATTTTGTAAGGTTTTTTCTTTCTTTTTTAAAGGTTTTTTTATTAATTTCTTTTACCGTCATAATTGATAGTGCAACAATAGAGTAATCAACCAAAATTCTAAAGTATTACAGACGCTTAACATATTTTGAGAAAAAAAAAACTATTTAAGAGACATGACAATGATACGATAAACAACATTCATAAGCAAAGAAAAAATGATCGCCTGAAATAATGAAATTGGAGATAAAAGAAAATTCAAAGGTTTTCTAGTATGGATAAAAGTAAATAAACTTATAGTAGTGAAAGTGAGGAATAATATTTTTAACAGTAATAATAATTCATGGTTTTGAATGGTAACCAACGGAACAAAGAGAAACACTATATTTCTTTTAAAAAATTATAATTAATGAGAAATAATTTTTCTTTTCATTCCTTCTTATTTCTTTTTTTTTGTATTAAATTTTAGAGTAAATTTGTTCGTGTTAATAAGAAATCATTATTCTTTATCATCCTCAAAATTTTATTTCCACTCTTTTTTTTTTCTATTCATTCTTAATATTCCTATATGATTATCAGAGGGGCCTTGCACGTATATCGTGCTCCAAGCTTGGCTGCAAAACTCCTAGTCAACCTTAGAAAAAAGTCTTGGAACCAACATATGAAGTATTAATATTTAATTATTAACTAATTAAAATGTATCATTTTCTAATAAAAAGAAAAAATCCGTTTTTATTACTAAAAACCAATAAAAATTAGATTTTAGTTTCTCTTCATAAATTGATTAAAATTTTCAAATATCAGTTTTCCTAAATTTTAGGGAATCTATTTACTAAAAAACTTGATGGACAAAAAAATGGGTTTTACAAAAACTAAAAACGAAGACCAAAATCTTGATTGGGTAAAACCTAGTTTTTGGAAAAAAAAAAACCAAAAAATAATTCAGAAACTAAAAACAATTAGCATCTTAGTATAGTTTCATTTTTAATGAGACATCAAAAATGATATCATCCCACCAAATTTGGTGTAACACTATTTATTATTCCAAATATTTTATATACATATTTTATTTTGTTTCATTTAATAATATATTTCCACTATTATTATTAATTAATTAATTCAAATTTAGAACTAAATATAAATATATTGTATTATTTATATATTTTAAATTACTTTCACATCATTACAATATTTTTAATTTTAATTTCAAGTAAGAAATCACTAAATGATATTATCATTTACTTTATATTTTAAAAAATATCATAAAAATTTAATTCAATAACTATTATATAATTAATAGTTTGTAATAAAATTTTGAATATAATTAATATTTTATATAAATATATTAAAAGTATAACATTCTTAAACTAAAAGTATAAATATAAATAAATTTATAGATATAAAGTTACAAAAAATTAACAAACATAATATTAAAACTGATAAAATAATCATTTATTAATTATAAATAATAAAAATATAAAATTATTCAAAACTTATAATATGAATAATATATAATATTATTTTGATGTAATATTTGGTGTCATGATTGGAAATAACAAAAAAATTTTGACACCAAACACTAAATTTGGTATAATTTCAACATCAAATTTGATATTATGGTTGGAGTTACCCTTAACCTGAACGAAAACTCCTTAATTGTACACACCAAATATCAATTTGAACTCACTAAAAAGTGTTCTAGTTATATTGAAACTCCATGATCCGCTAGTCCCGCATAGTTGATAAGTATGTCAAGCTTTCCAAATCGCTTGTTAACAAAGTCAATCGCATTGCTCTAACATCACCCACTACAATTCAACATTAACGACGTCAGTTTTTGTCGTAAGCTCCACGTAAATGGCCAACTACGTGGAATTAACGAGAAAACATGTTTCGTCGTTAATCGTTTGTCGTAACTTATATTTCCTCGCTAAATCCATATAAGGTAGCGAGTGCCACGTTTCATCGTAAGTGAAACAAAAACAGTTCGTCGTAAAAGCCACATAATATTTCCTCATAAAGGGGACGTTAATTTTCCACGTAACGGTCACGTAAACTTTCCACGTAAAGTACTCGAAAATAAACGTCGTAAAAGCCATGAAAAGAGATGAGGTAACTTCCACATAATATTTCATCCTAAGTTTCAGGTTAATATTTCGAAGTTACTTCGTCGTAAATAATACTTGTAAACACGTCGAAAATAATGACTATTTTACTACAAATTTGTTTATTTTCCAGAAAAAAATATAATAATAAAATAATTTAATTTAAAATTAAAATTTTTTAAAAATTATAAAAATCAAAAAGAAGAAGATAATAATAGATCAATATATATATAAGTTATGAAGTTAAAATATACACATAGAAGGGCAAGAAAGAAAGAAAAAACTAAGGGTGGTCGTCATGCATCACCCGGTAGAACTCTTCACTCCTCCTCTCTATATCTGCCTCGGGGTGTAGATCATCGGGATGTGTGCTGCTGCTGGATGGCTGGCCTGGAATGGGGTTTTGTTTCTGAATGTTCCTCAACAAAGACTCCCATTCCGGGTTTGAGGAAGCTACAACACTCAAGAAGCCCTCGAGTTCACCCAAACGAGCTGTGACGCAGATCGCATCGTGTCCAANTCACTCCTCCTCTCTATATCTGCCTCGGGGTGTAGATCATCGGGATGTGTGCTGCTGCTGGATGGCTGGCCTGGAATGGGGTTTTGTTTCTGAATGTTCCTCAACAAAGACTCCCATTCCGGGTTTGAGGAAGCTACAACACTCAAGAAGCCCTCGAGTTCACCCAAACGAGCTGTGACGCAGATCGCATCGTGTCCAACGCGCTACGCAGCTGAGTGACTTCATCTTCCCGGGTCTGACCATAAGACGATGTTGCTCTTGGAACATCGTTGACAGAACCAATCCCCAACGTACGTCCCTTTTTCTTAGGGACGACCTTAGAAACAAAACATAAATAAATACTATTAGTAAATATATTAAGTTAAAGTTTAATTTTTAAAATATTAATGAATTAAAATTTAAATGTTTAAAAAATTTACCTCTTCGTAAAGTATCTACTTCAACAGTGGATAAGGTGACCGGTACTCCGCCGGTAAAACATTGGGTCAGCTGTGTCTGACATTCTTCAACCCGACCAAGCAAGTCATTGTAGATCTGCTCGGACCTAGGATCGACAAACCGGCCCGCCTTGTTCTTATGGGTCCTCTCGTACAGGTCCAAAAGAGACGGGAGTTGTCCCGTCTCTTTAGCCTAAAAATTAAACATTTAAGAAAAGTTAGACGAAAATATATATAATTAATATTCATATAATTAAAAAACTTAATAAAATAATTTAAATATTTAATTACCATCTCCAGACGAACACCAGCATGGGGTTTCTGACCCGTAGAGTGAAGCATAGGCCCGTTGCCGTGCTCATTGATCGTCAGACGGGAGGCAGAGCAAGATTGGGAGACCTTGACGTTGTTGGGATCCTTCCAGTAACAAATGAGGCCATCCCAAACGTCTGTGGTGATCTCATTGGGTTTCCCCTGCTCGTACCCGTTCACGAGCCAATCGCACTTCCAGTTGTAGACGACGTCCAATAAACGGCCAGCCGCCTTAGCGTTAAACACTTTCTTCACCTTCTCATTGACCCCTAGGGACCAATTGTATTTTTGCTGTAAAAAAAAAGAATTAATTAAGATTTAGTTTATAAAATAAAAAATATAAATTATTAAATCTTAATTCTGATCAGAACTTACAGCGAAAATTTTGAACCACGTCTTTCTGATGTAAGACGGCATCGTCTTCCAGTTCGGATGTGCCTCGGAGAAGTAACCTTTGATAGTATCGGTTACTCACCGAGCAAGAACTACGTCAACCCCAAACCTGAAAAAAATATATAAATAATTTATTAGAATTTAATTATATAATATAATTTGGTAAATTTTATAAAAAAAAGACGTACCACAAAGTCCCTTCTGGTCGGTCGGGGTCTATGATGGTCAGGACCCCTCTGCCCAGCAGAGCGAGAATGTCCGCAACAGTCAACCGCGAGTATGGACAATATGGCGGGACCTGTAAGTCGGGATGAATCCCGGCCGGCATTGCCGAAGCATCAGGCTGAGGAGGCGCATGAGGAGGCACAGGAGGAGGCACCGGAGGAGGAACATGACGAGCCGCCTCTGGGAAGTACTGATAGTTCTGCTGAAGATGTGGCGGTGCAACGAAACAAGGCGAAGGGACTCTCTGAGAAGACTGAGTCTCGGGAAAAGTCTCCGGTGCTGAAGAAGAACCCACGGGTGCTGAAGATGACGGCCGGTGTAAAAGAGTACCGGACTGCCCGATGAACATATCACCATAGTTCTTCGATAGTTTGTTCTTTCTAACCTGAAAAATATTTAAAAACAAATTAATAACGTTAATTTAATTAAAAACTAAGCAAATCTATCTAAATTCCCTAAACTAACCACCTAATCTATCTAAACTAAGCAAACCTATCTAAATTCCCTAAACTAATTAACCACCTAATCTACCTAAGGTACTAGGAAGAGGAGATGGAATGGAGACGAATGGGAGAGGAAAGGGTTAGTCGTATATAAAGACAAATACCTTTCCTCGAGAGTTCATCGTAAATTTACGAGGAATTTAAAAGGCCCGTGTTTTCATTTACGACGAACTCTCAAGGAACGTGTTTTGATTTACGACCAATTTAAAAGGCCCGCGTTTTTGGGTTTACGACGAATTTAAAAGGCCCACATTTTATTTTACGGGAGCTTTACGACGAATCCTGCTTACGTGGAAATTACGTCGAATAGTTAAAATAAAGTAAGGTTTCATCGTAAAGCTCACGTAATTTACGAGTAGAAAATGAGGATTACATGTAAATCCCTAAAATCTGAAACCCCAAACCACTTATTCCATATCTTTCACTTCATCTTCTTATACTTCTTACAAATCCCAAACCCTAAACCCATATCTTTTACTTCTTACAAACCCCAAACCCTAAACCCATATCTTTTACTTGTTACAATCTCTTTT